TATTTTCACCTAAAGTCAAGTGAAACATTAATATGTAAATCTGATGTAATGCACGTTTTTACATTAACCCAATTTCTCATCTGATCTAGTGTCAGGCCTGGTGACCTACCTGTGGATGAGTGGTGAGGAGGGATGAACCTGACACATAGGAAACTTTCTCATGATGAGACTGGATGATCCAGTTGGAGCTGCCCAGTGAGTAGCCAGAACTTAAGGGGGAGACCTGTACAGCTCCAAACAACTCCTGGAGAAACATGTTGTCATTATGAGATATGAGATACATTCAAACACTATGTTCCAACGGGTGGTCAGCGGCACAAGAGAACCACAGACAGGACAGTTCTCTTTCTTTTCCTTTTCACCCTGTACACATCTGACTTCCAATACAACTCCTGTCATCTGCAGAGGTTTCAGCCCAAGGGCCATTTTCATTCTCAGTGAGGAGGTGGAGGGCTACAAATATCTGGTAGTCCACCTCAACAACTGGATTTATTGCAGTGAATATTGCAGGACCTGGTGGGCTATATTAAATGCAGCCTCATCTGATTTGCATCGATATTTACATATGCCTGTGTAGAGTGTGTTAGACAAACAAAGCTCTTACCACTTTCTGTGAATAACCCACAAGTTGCACTTTACTGAGGGCAGAGTTGACCTCCTGCATACTGTAGCATCTCTTCCACGTCCACACATCTACAGCATCCTTCAGTGGGCCTGGCAGAATCCTAATACAGCACCATGATTTATTTAATAATTTAATGCATCTGCTGACAAGTAACTGAGAGTAACATGATACAAATGTACAAATTAAAACCAAAGCAAGACAAGGGAAACAGTAATAACACAGAAATATCATGCACCCATAAGAACAATACATCAACCTTTACTGACACTCGGAATTCGTTTCTAACCATTTTTAACTTAAAGCAGATACCTGGGGCCGAGGCCATGCACGTTCCCACAAACTCCTAGAAATATAACAAGCTGCTGTTTATTTCATTATTGTTACTGTTATTAGTCCTCATTGTCCATGCTACTGTTTTGAGTATGTCACACCTATCAATCAAACCACATTAACTGAGAATATTTTTCCCCTTTCCTCTCTTTCTAATCTTTTACTGATTTGTTAATTTCATTTATTTTTCTTTTATGAATATGTGTATACATACTGTATATATCTGGGTACACATAATTATGTGTATTCAAATGCATATATTGTATTTATATGATCAAAATTGTTTTATTATTTATTTTATTGTTACAATCATCCATTTTCTATCAAACTGACGTATTTACCCATTCATCTTTCTCCATTAACTAACCAGGAGTTGTACTAGGGGATACTACACCCTGTGCCCAGCAGCTGGGGCATGCAATTTGGAGTCATTCTTGGGGTGTCTCTGGGGGACACAGTATGGGGAGGAAGGCCAGGTCACTGTTTTGGACTGGTAAATGGACTGTATTTTATATAGCGCATTTTTCACAGTGTGTTGCACTGGCCAAAGTGCTTTACAGGAGATCATACACCATTCACTCATTCACACACAACATTCACGCACCGATGACGACAGGCTGCCACACAACGGCGTTAGTCAAGCCACCGGGAGCAATTCGGGGTTCAGTGTCTTGCTCAGGGACAATTAGGCATGCGGGGAGACCGGGAGTCGGACCACCAACTTGCTGGTCAGAAGACGACTTGCCCTACCTCGTGAGCCACAGCTCACTTAACATATATTCACTTAACAGCATATAGCATTAGTGGACTGCTGACAAGCTCTTAGACAATCTCCCTCCTTAGGCTCTGGGAGTTGTTTATGAGGGGAATACACCACACACTGGGTCAGGTCTGTCCTTTCAAAGCCAGGGGCCAACCCTGAGCTGTTTCAGTCCCAACAATCAACTATTAACATAAACCAAGACGAACAGTAAAACAAAGGGAAGGTTTAATTTAACCATAACACAAGGATGCGCTGTCCTGCTGCCCTGGACGACCTCACCCTGCTGAGCTGCTCCAGAGCTCCCCAAGTGGTGGCCTCACCTCGTGCTGGTGGTTTGAGGTGGGAGCATCACCAATACGCTCCTGTTCCTTTATTGATTTAACACGCCGCCCTCCCTTTTTTTCCTTTTTTTTTTTTACATTTACCTCGCACCAAATTTCTTAATTTATTTGGTTAAATTTTATTTTTCTTTAATATATACTGAGTATCAGTCTATATAGAGTTAGATACACCCACACTACACACTTTCACACACACAGCCTAATTTAATAAACCCTTGTCTCTTTTATTAATGTCTGTTGTTTCATCTTCTATGTTATGTCCTTTGTCCTGTAAATGTGTTATTTCGTGGTGCAATTACAAAAAAAAAGAAATGCAACCAGTAAAGTCATAGAAGTCTTTTATATAATATAAGTTCTTATTTTATATGTTACAGTATACCTACCTTTGTATTTCCTTATTTTTCCAGCAGGTGGCAGACTGGGCTTTGGGAACTCTCTCCATGAAGTTCACCAGCTCCTCCATCAACAACCTGATTAAAGAACAGTAATAACATTTCTGAAACCCCAGCCAGTTCCCCTTTGATTCATGACACTAGCAAAAGTTCCCAAACTTATATAAATGATTCTTCAAACACAAAATTAAATTCCAAACAAAGTGGTTTCAACTTCTGGATATCAGTCCTTACCTGCCAATCTGCAGGGTGGGCTCCGTGGCGTACACTGTCCCTGTAAAGCCTGTGTGCTCAGTGATGTAGGGCAGGGCCATCATACAGTGATAGTTGGAGATCAGGATGACATCAATGGTAGACAGATCCAACAGTTCTCTCTGTGGTCGATATAAATGTGAAATATATTTAATTTAGACTAAATACGCATTACTATATCAAGTATATTATTTGTTATCATTTACATTTTAATTGCCAGTTGTAGGAATTGGGAAGTGAAAAACAATTACAACAATGACACTTAGATCACAGTAAAGAAAAAAGGGAATAATCATATTAATTATAATCTTACTGTGCAGAGCCACACAAGCCACTAGCCAAATGCTGAAAAATTTGAGCAGGCAAGTTTGTCCAGTTTTTTATTCAAACACAACTGTATGATAACTACAACAAAAAGAAATTTTCAGGCTAATCTCTTGGTTCCCTAGCCTAGTCACATCTGCATTATGACATAACTTCCTAAAATCAGTAATGTATAATCTGAGTGATGACTTAAGATATGCAAAAGAAACACATTTTAGTTTCAATTTACAGTAAGGGGGTGTGTTTTCTACCTCAGGGAGACAGAACTCTGGGTGTGAGTCCACAAACACTCTTCCTGAACACTCCTTCAGCTCCTGGAAAGAGGGATAGAAACAGCTTGTTTACATTTGCAGACTCTCATACTTTACAGACATGAAAGCAAACAAACAATTTTGAGATTTCACAAAGAAACAATCAAACATAGACTGGTGTTCAGCTACAGACTTGAATACTCAGTGAGTAAAATACACAAAGAACAGCTTCTCATACCTTCTCCAAGTTTACTGTTCCATCCTTTGAGACCCAGCCAGGTAACTTGGAAAGTCTTGAACTGAAAAAGGCAAAAACATAAATATACACTGTGCTTCAGAAAAAAGGCAAGTGTAGCTTACCACCCATCAATGAATAAACAAGTAAAGACTACTAACATCACTGATGCCAGTGACTCACCTGTGCACGAGAGGAAGGGGCAAGAAGTTGAGGACAGAGGTGGTATCCAGCCCACAGTCCAGCATGATAGTGGTGGATTTGAACTTGAGGACATTACAAGGCAGTGTAGGATGACCAGATAGACAGTACTGCAAGATGGAAAACAAACGCAGATACACACATGTAAGAAAAATATACGACTGTGCCAACAATACAATACAGCCACAATAGAGGCAGAATAAACACATCATATAAAAAGTTAAGTACAGAAGAGGGAGGCGGCCAGTCTATTGACACATTTAAAATTACGCACGCAGGCACACACACGAAGATAAATGCTCACTTAATCAAAAAAAACATTACTCATGCTGACCAACTCATCGACTTTCATTAGGGACTTACAACAGCTCTTCTCCATACCCTTGCTATCCCCAGTAACACAAGGGTGTATTAGCTTCCAAGCTAACAAAGTTAGCTGTAACTGGATGCCTTCAACAATATACTGAGGATCTTATACTCATATTGAGTTAGTTTAGCTAGTTAAACATATACCCTTTATTGATGCGCTGTTTACTCACCAATTTCATTTTTAAGACAAGCAAGGAATGGTAAACTCTCTGATATTGTCACCTTTACTAACACAACATCCTTTCTCTCTGATTTATTTTCTCTGCTCGCGGTGTTTTTCTGCCGTTTGTCCTCTACCGCCCCCTACACAAGTGGAGTGTAACCAATATTACGAATGTACCTACTGATTAAAAGAGCACATGTAGCTTGTTTTTATTGCCCCGAAAAGAGCACTGTGCCTCACAATAACAATCAATTTAAATAAAAAATCTACTAATCAATTTGAAAAGTCGATAACTGTCGAGTGTTGCCAACAAACGCATGTGCCCATTACACATCACTTGAGGACTTGAGTTAGATCAGTTCACCCAATTTTGTGATTAACTTTGGAGGACTTAGACTCAGAGATGCATATGCTGTACATAGGATGACAACATAAATATAAGCGATTTAGTCTTAACCGTATCTAACCTAAATTAATAGGTATATACAGGTTATATGTGTTATGTATAAGGTGGGGAGAGTTCTTAGGCAGCGAGGTGACACCACACAACGGTGTAATAACCACGCTTTCAATTTACTACCCTGGTTTAGCTTCTTCCCACGCTACTAATGTCTAACTGTCACCGGTTCTGTCAAATCACTCCCAATTGACTCATAATGCTTATCTACGGAGTTGTACTTCCTTTTCGTAAAATGCTACGTTAACGCGAGTAAACCCAGTCCAATCAAGATTATGGCTCTGCGCATGTGCGGAAGTGGTACACATCTGTAGGTAGCACAAGTTGGAACACTGGCATAGTTATCTCGGCCAAGTCCAAATCGTTACGTCGTAATGTTGCGAAACTGATTTAGTAACACGGGTAGCCAACGCACGTCTGTATCTCCGGTAGGCCTTGTTTTGTTTTTTTTGGTCAAATAACAATAATTAGAACAGGGTTTGTGGCTAACACAGCTAAACACAAGATACCTGCTCATTTCACCTTTGATACTTCTGAGCTCGATGTTTTCTCACGGGGGATTTGTACAGTTAACAGTCAGGAGGATTTGCGAGTGGGTAAGGACAGGTGGGGACTGAAACGCCTCTATTGTTGACGTTATTGCTAGTCCAAAATGCTCTGTTTTCCTCTACAGCTATAGCTTGTACAAAGGAAGATTTAAGGTGTAAGGAATGGTTGTTACATCAGGTTATTTACAACTGATTGCAGGTCATTTCAGTTTAGAAATACTTTTTGTTCCCGTCCATAAAACCTGTGCTTTCACAAGAATTGAGCCAACAATTAAAGCAGCAAACAGAGACTAATGTAATAATAAAATAATTTGTCATATATTTTCAAAGGTAGAAAATTAATAATGTAAAGAAAAATATACAAATTCAGATTGGAGCTGTATTCATAATCTGCTGATATTTAAAATTCATTGCCTGAAATCATTACCTGTGGTTTAGCTGTGCAGTAATATGAGGCCGTTCCTGTTTTGTGGGTTAACTCATGTTATCTCTATCACGTGTCCTTAGGTCATTGTAGTTGCTTCCTGTCAAGGTGACTGAATATTTGACACCTACTTGGCTCTTTTCCCAACAGACCAGAGGAGGTACGCACTCAGTTTCTTTGCCATGGGGAACACCCACAGTAATCACCTTGGGATCCCTCCAGCGAAGGGCCCCAACGCTGTGGGCTGCACTGACTTCATGATGGACCACACTGCAAAGGTGGGTTCACAGAAGATGCTGACGTTGTGTCTGTATGGAAATGTGCCACTTAGACATAGAATAATTGTAATATTTCAATGGCAATGTGCGTTTCTTCATAAACAATATGCTGAATTAGAAAAAGAAGAGAGAAATCAGAAATGAAATGTGACTAGTTGATCATGACCTGTAAAAGCTGAAAAAATGTATATGATAGCCTGAGCAATATGATTGATATTTACATCTAAATTTAGACATTGTGAAGAATAGCTTCTGAAACATTCTTAATCCAGAATACCAGCACGGTACATTAAAAATGGATGAAAATGGACAAAGTGCCCGTTGTGAAGCTGTTCAGTCTGCAGCTGATTGATAATCACAACCAACCAGCAGTTCAACAGTGACAAGACAAGCTATTTGGGATGGCTTGCTAGTCACATTTCAGTAACCAATAGTGTAGTTATTTGTTTAAATGTGTGAACTTTCATTGCTTCTCGCCAACAGGGCAGCTTCTTCCGACTTTACTATCCTTGCCAGGAGACTGAAAGAGCAGAAAAGCCAGACTGGATTCCATGCAGAGAGTATTTTAACGGTCTGGCAGACTTCATCAAAATCAACAGGACTCTTGGTGAAAGGATTTTCAGCTACCTCTTTGGTAACTGAACCAGTTTCAAATGTGTTTTTGCATTTTTGCACCTGTAATATTCTTTATAGTTCTGCTCAAAATGTTTCCAGTTAGAGTTGTAGATTCTTTTAAAATGTTTTTTCCCCTTCCAAGGAAACATTGGTTGTCCTTTATTTCTTAACTGCCTGAAGTTGTGTTGTTGTTGAACAGCAATCCAGGGAAAACATCTCACAAAAATGTGTCTTTTAACTGCATTATCAAGCAACAACAATGAAAGCAGAAATGATGTCCACTGTAATTATTAATTACCTAACCCTGGTAGGTTTTAATTCTGAAAGTTAATATTCACAGTGTAGAAATGTATGGGAAATGGCAGCAGGTGTGAAATCAGTAGTATAAATCATTTTCATTTTTAGTACATTGGCTATAATCTACATTAACACTAGTGTTTGTTTTTTGTCATTTGTTTATTCCAGGGTCCTTTAAGATTCCAGCCTACTTGGATGCTCCATTTAAATCAAATGGAAAATGTCCAGTAGTCATCTTCTCCCATGGCCTGGGAGCCTTTAGGTACACATTAGAGTTTTGACATTGCTATAGTATTTTGCCATTATGAATTAGAATGGTCACCTATCACTTATCACCTATTGTGGATGATGTAACTGACATGTTCTCGGTGTTTCCTAGGACTTTGTATTCAGCTATATGTGCAGAATTGGCCTCTCACGGTTTCATTGTGGCGTCCGTGGAACACAGGTATTTGTACAAGATTTCTTATTCAGTACACTTTTAGCTGATGTGTAATCTTCATCTTAATGTCAGGATTTATTTAATTAAAAAGCAAAGGAAGCTCGTTATAGTACACAAATGGGGGTTGGAGGACAGCTGTACAGCAGCTATTCAAACAGATGTGAGCACGTACACAATCTTGTAGGCTGTGAGCTGACAATATGAACATTGCAAATTTTAAACTAAGGTCACATGTCGTTTGTAGGAAATTCTAGTTGACTTAGCCAAGCAATAAATAACAGAAGGCAGTCTCCTCTGCAAGCAGCTGTCTGTTTTTCTGTGGGGTTGGAGTGGAAAGGGTGTGCAGACAATAGTACGAACCAGGTCATCACATTTCTTTTCAGTACAGGGACAAAGGAACCATGTGGAGATGAACATAATGACCACAGCTGGTCTGTCACTCATGTGGACTAGAGTGGTATTTCACAGAACTTTAGCTATTGGTTAAAGGCTAAAGCCACAGAGAGAGCATGTGTCAGTGTTGTGACCTGGTGTGTGGCTCTGACATGAGAGATTTCACATGCCTCCGGTGATGGTCAGAGTTTACTCCAGCCAACCTCACAGTGGTGTTTTTGTCACGCCGCTAAATTAGCTGACTTAGTCGCTGACCAAAAACAAACCAGAACACTCAAAGAATTCCCATTTTCCCACCATGCTCAGTATGAGCTGCAGCAAAAGATCATTTACTTTGGCAGCAAGTTTAAACAAGGACAAAACAAAGTTAAAGATACTACTTTCTGTTGAGCTGCTGGAGAGTCCAATAAGACTCAGAACAAACTGTCACCAAAAGCTGCTCCTTATCACTCTTTGTGCCTTCCATCGCATCCTGTTTTCTGGCACAGATGTAAACTACAGAAACCTGATTGGGACAAACTGTAGCGGAATAACAACAGTAGAGCTGTTACGGAGGGGGGTAGAATAGCTGAGAGACACCACGTCCTGTCCCATTGTAACTTGATGTATCAGTGTGTAAAATCTTAGTTTAATTCACTTTAATTTAGTTAAGCTTTATTTAATCAGTAAATCTCACTGACATAAGATTTCTTTTATACACCTGAGACTGGGGCCTGTACTGCAACACGAGGTCCTGGCTCTCTTGGGGTTATCTAGTTTCACTGAGTGAAACATTGGCCATCCTGGATAACAGGTACCAGGAAGCCAGCTATCAACTCTGTTCAGTCTGGGTTCTCCTATCGCACTACAAGTGCGTTCATGTGAAAGAGGCAGAGTTGTTAATCAGAAGTGACAGCAGCAACACCATGGCTGAAGTAGGCCACTGAAAATAATATGAGATGGAGCAGTGAGACCTGCTGGGAAAACAGTTTTATAGCCAGAGCAGAAAGTGATATTACAGCAGGGGAACTAACTAACTAACTTTCTGTCGTCCATCCGTCTGTCTGTTATATTTACCTGTAGGACATCACAATTGGTGACAGCCTGATGTAATGTTTTCAATATGCCTTGTGCTTGTGATCGATGAACACTCCAAAACCTTAAAATATTGAGTTTACCATCATATATTACAAATAGCAAACATATAACAAAGACAAACGGTAAGCTCTTGCATTTGAGAAGCTGGAATCACAGAACGTTTTGGCATCATTGTCTGGAAAATGACATGAAACAAGTCATTGATTATCATACATCTCCAGTTCATTCTCTTTCAGTCAACTAATCTGTCAATTGACAAGTTAGGGCAGGTCTGTTTATCTCACATCTTTAACTCAGTTTTGAGAAAGTTCAAACCTCAGATCTAAATAAAAAGTCCACTCAACTTACTGTATGTGAAATCTTCAAAATACATCATTTTTGTTTTAAAAAATTTTTTTTTAAATATGTATTCTATTTATCTTTGAATCATTATAATTTCACTGCACTGTCTTTTCCCGTTTAATGCAGAGATCAGTCAGCATCAGCGACGTATTACTTTCGTGAGAAGACAGAGTCAGAGAAAGCAAATGAGAAAGTGCTTAAAAAGTCTGCGTCAGCCCAAAATAACTTAGTAAAGGAGTGGATGTACTACAGACCTCTGCAGCATGGAGAGAGTGAATTCCCCCTGAGAAATAAACAGGTAAAGTGCAACACAAAAAGTATTTACACAAGAAATTATGTACAGTATTTTGAGAGGTACAGTCCATGTCCCATGTGTATCAACATAATGACAGCAGCATAAGTGAATCAGCATAAGTGTGGAGGTGAAGTAAATTATTCTTCTTTCATAGTGTGGCCTTAGAATTGGCAGCAGCTGCGCTGCACAACATCTGTAGTAACCAGTGGCGCTGGTGTTCAAATCAAACTTCCATGTTTGTTCAGTCTATTCTCTAATATTCTAATCACATTGAAACTTTTTCCCCTTTTATCTTAGCATTACATCTAGCTGTCTTCACTATTTTGAAATACTTTATTACATTGAATTTCAGAGGCTAAATTTTAAATGTGAATGTGGCAGTAGTGTGTGTGCTTTTTTTCTCGTTTCTCCTAAATCGTGTGAACCTGTCTTTTTGCTCCCAGGTGAAACAGAGGGCAGACGAATGCATTCTGGCTCTGGAGAAACTCACTGAAATCAATTCAGGGATACCAGTGCAAAATGTTTTGCAAACACAGTTCGACTGGACAACGCTACAGGTATGCTTTTTATAAACTCTAGTTTTTAGGTTGTCTTAGATCATGAGTCACAACAGGGCAGCAGGATACATTATCTAGTTCCAGATAGAACCAGGGAAATGTAGGACTTATATTTAGAATACAGGCAATATGTGCATAACAGAAACTACTACTAAAAATGAGGAAGTTTAAGAAATTATAACACCTATAACTTTTCATCTTCTTGTTCACTGTAATGCGACCTGTGAGAAAGCTTTAGTACAGTAAATACAAGATGTTCACTAGTTCAGTAATAGCTGAAATGCAGAAGGATTTGTTGACCTGGCATAGTCATACTGAAGTAGTTCAGGTTATGATCCCACACTGGTCCTTTCACAGTGGCCTTATGTAACTGAAAACATATTCAAAGTCTAGGATATGACCTTTGAGTAGTGGTTGTTAATTTAGTTTGTATTCATGTAACATTTAGGCCAAATAACAATACTTCTATTAGAGTAAGACATAGTGCTTCCTGATCAGAGATTGGTGTTCGAGGCAGGTGTGATGGCCACATAGGGCATTCTCAGATTGATCAGTTGTGTGATTGCTAGAAGTAAAAGGGTTCTTTCTTCTTTTTGAATCTTATTCTGTATTTTTTGTTGTCAGCACATCAGAATCAGCTTTATTGGCCAGGTGTGCTGAACACACGAGGAATTTGACTCAGGTACATCGGCTCTCAATGTGCAAACAGTAAACCAGCATAAGGCTGTGTAATATAACAAAATAGCAGTATTAACATCAACAACCAGTGCAAACAATGCAGAAAAAGCAGTATAAACAGACAGTAAACAATGCAGACAACAAGGTAATGTTTATTGAAATGAGATAAATAGGGATAAAAAGAGTACTTAAAACAGAAACCTAGAGACCTGTACGAGTCTGTATAATCTGTACAATGTATATTTACAGGTATTGCACTGAGGGTTATTGTCCAGTCATACTGTCATTGGTTAAGTGTTCATCAGAGTGATGGCCTGGGGGAAGAAACTGTCCCTGTGCCTGGTTGTCTTAGTGCACAGTGACCTGTAACACCGCCCAGAGAGCCAAACCAGACAGTGATGGAGGTGCAGAGAACAGATGCGATGATTCCTCTGTAGAACTGTATCAGCAGCTCCTGGGGCAGGTCGAACTGAATATCATGAAAAAACCTAAACCAATAATGTGCAGTGGCAAGAAAAGTAAACCATTGTCATATATAAATGTATTTATGCATATTTTTCTTAAAATACGGTCAGATCAGCTTTGTTACAATTATGAACAAACAATTTTTATTTTACAACAATGGAGCTCTATACCAGAGGAATAAGATGCATCATCAGCTTTGGCAGAACCTGAAGATGACTAACAGTTCAGAACATTTATATTGTACTAATCATAGTCTTCTTTCCTCTTGTCTCCTGGCTGACAGAACTCCATGGATCTGTGCAGGATAGCAGTGATGGGGCATTCCTTTGGGGGAGCAACAGCGATTGAAGTTCTTTGCAAAGAGGTTAAATTCAAGTATGTACATGTAAGAGTCTTTGATTCCAGTTGATAGTTTTATCAGTTTTAGAAAGTTGTTTGGGGTTAAACTGCCTGTACTTTAGTAAAAGGTACTGCAAAATATGGCATTTTGGTATCAGTAGCAAATCTTACATAATGACATATTTAAAAAATTGTCAAGCGATACTTGGTCCTAGATCTAGATACTTAACCCTATAAAACCATTTGTATCATATTTGATACGTGAGGCTTCTGAGCAAAAAAAAAATTAAAAAAAGCGCCAAAAATGCCCCATGTATCAAATGTGATACACAAGAAATAGAAATAATCTAAATAATATGGCACCTCTATTCCTATATGCCTGGACTGTCTGTCTATGCATATATGGCAAATAAAAATTGCGAGTCATGATTTATATTTCGGATTTTGTTAAAAGGTTTAATAAACATCTCAGTTCCGAAAAATTAGAATGTTCTGGCTATTTTTTGATGTGTCAGGCTTTACAGGGTTAAGAGCATCTGAATTGTGTAATAACCTTCTCTGGAAACTGTCTGAAATCAGGTGTGGCATAGCACTGGACTCCTGGATGCTTCCTTTAGATGATGAGATCTTTCCTCAAGTGAAGCAGCCTATTTTCTTCATCAACTCTGAGAAGTTCCAGTGGGCGGGAAACATCAACCGCATGAGGAAGATGGACTCAGCCATCACACAGAGGAAAATGATCACCATCAGGTACAAAGGATAGAACTGGGTTTAAATTTAGGTACTTCCAGTGATTCTGTAAAATGTGTTGTTGCATCTGTCTTTGTGGTGATGATTTCCTTCTATTGCACTCTTTCAGAGGTACAGTCCACCAGAGCTTCCCAGACTTCACCTTCCTGGCAGGCAACTGGATTGGGAAGCTCATGAAGCTGAAGGGAGAGATCGACCCAGAGATCGCCATAGACCTCTCCAACAAAGCATCACTAGCCTTTCTGCAACGCCATCTTGGTAAGGGGAATAGAGAGCTCACAATCCTTGCCAGTCATGTCCAGTAATTATTTTAATTTTAAATCACTATCATTTGTTAAACCATACGTGCAAATTTTGTCTTTTTCTCAGGTCTGGAAAAGAACTTTAATCAGTGGGACCCTCTGATTGACGGGCAAGATGATAACCTCATTCCAGGAACTAATGTCATTGTCCTTCAGTCTGCCATCTGAACTGCCACTGTGCCTCATACACTGCAGAAACACCTGGGACTACCTGAACAATCCTGCCCTGCACATGGGAGTCAGTGGAACAGTCCCAAAAGGCCAAGTCAGGCTTACTTCTTTCAAAATGGACTAAAGATAACAATTTGGAGTAGTGATGGAGAAGAAAGCCAATCTCTACCTCATCATCTGGAAAGCTTTGTTTTTCTTGACCATTAAAACACTCACCAAGTGTGGCAGTGTTTGTTTCATGAGGCCTGAATGTTGCGTGAGCAGCTCAACACTTCTTTTAACTACTGGTAAAATCTTTTACCAATAACAGCAATTTCTTAGAAAAATACTTTTAATCATTTTCATCTTTGAAAGGTAATTGAGAAATACTACTCTACACTCAGTTGGAGGTTATTATGTACAACAAATACAAGAGTCAGACTAATGCAGTCCTGCAATAAATCCTCTCTTCATGAAGGTGATTGTGTTCAGTTCTTTAAAAACTGATTTACACAAGTGTTAATTTTCCTTTTATGATCATTTTAACAGATGTAGTTTGTGCTGCTGTTGAACTATCATGTTATACATGTTTATTTATTCCACCCCATTTATAATTGGAGGCTAGGCTAAATAACAAATCCCCTTCCGTATGGGGTACAGTTCAATAACAGCACCTCTCAAAGTTTGAAAAACTGAGCAGTATCACAGTCACAAAGGATATACTACAGGACTGTTACATTAGACAGTGTTACTTTTAGCTTGTGTACCTAATAAACTGACACCTGAGTGTATGATTGCATAACAATTATGTAGTAAGGTCTAAAATGACAATCGGATCCAACCTGCGGGCCACGAAGATACATACATATGATCTCAAGCTAAATTGTTAATCTAGATAGTGTAGAAGACAAAATATATGCACCCGGTTTCATCAGAAAACAGCTACTCAAGTAAATCAGCATCACTTGAATGGCTCAAACACTACAAGGTTGCGTTGAGATATCATGTGCCTTAATCCATAGAACCGTTCATCCTGGGTCAGTGACATGTTAGCTTTTTACTTTATACATTTTGTCTGGTATATCTGCATCTGTACAGAAATCCAATAAATCTGTTTTGTATACAAGTGTTTGTCATCATATCTAGGTAAGCTTAGTCTTCCAGGTTTGTTTACCCCTTTTTAAAGCTCTAATGCCACAAGCTCAGAAGCAGGTTGTGAGACTGCATTTAAAGCTCTTGAATGTTTGTACTCTAGAGGTCCACGACAAATAACATTCTTAAAAAAATGTTTAAAATGGTGAGTGATTGTATGAAACTGAAAGTTTTTTTTTTTTTTTTTTTTTTTTTAATACAATTTATGCAGTTTGCAAAATACTTTGTCCAGGCACAACTACTGCCATTACCTCCATGGGACACCAGGCCATAGCTTTTCTTTATGTAAAGATGTTTAAAAGGAATCCCAACTACTAAATTTAAATATACGATGTAAAAAAAAAAAAAATCCTAATCCATTGTCTTGAACCTGATGTCTACAAAAATATAAATTCCTCCAAACGGGGGTGGAGGGAAGGATGGTAGTAACTGAAATGTAACCATGACTCACCTTCATTCATTTGTAAGGCTATTTATTGTGCCAACATAAATATGAATGCATGTATCCACACCAAATAGAATTGTTGCATTCTCAAAAACTAACAGTTCACCTTACAATCAAAGCAGTTTTATCTTTAACACAAGATTAGTGCTCAAAAGCATTCCAAAGTATTATATGGCAGCTTAGCAGAACATATAACAATACTACTCCAATTAAAACTGGGTAAACACGTGGATACTGACAAAGGTTTTGACAACTATTACTCTGCAAAGACACTTCTAAGCAGATGGCTGTCCTGAATAGGAACTGAAATTAGCCATTAAGTGAAGGAGGACCTGCTGAGTTGGCTCAAAACATTGATTCCATCACTGAGCACAAATACAAGAAAACTGAACTTGAACCTGTTTAAATAAAACAAAGTGTATGCATTTTATAACCTCTGTCAAATAAAACAAAAACAATGTAAGGCTGTTACCCCTCAGGCTGCTGCTTGACAAAACAGAACATCAGCAGAACCTCCACTGTCAATCGGAGAAGGGCGAGTTATCTTTGACAGCTGTGTCTCTAAAAAGGAAGGAAAAACGGTATTTTGTATTAGAGAAAACATCACAGCCTGTAGCTGCAAAGGGAAAGTGCATAACTTGAATATGTCTGAGACAACAGCATCACTTACAAAAACCATCACCAGTAGAAAACAGCATTTCTTCTGAATACACACTGCCATCACAATCCTGGAAATTTATCAGCATGTAATGTCAGTGCGCCAGTGATGATGTTCCATTACACTTTGTTTCAACACTAATTGGTTTCAATTCTTGACTAGGGCCATAGTTTTTTGGACAGTATTCAGTGACAAAATACCAGTGTACTGCACTGATTTTCATTGTTTTACCAGAATCACTCTTATGAATGCTCAGGTGGTACAATGAAGTTTACTGTGGAGGAGTTTGTGCAATATTGCTGTATGTAACTTTGGATCACCGTCCAGGGAGCCTCTCGTGAGAACTGCATAACGCTTTACAGCACCAGACCCTTCCGCTAGCTCAGTATTCACACATGTAGAAACAAACCCCTGGGCCTTTATAGAGTTTTGCTATTTTTTCCAATGAGAAAGTAACTACTTAGATTGAGAATATGTGGTCAGTCTATTAAAGTAATGCCAATTTGAAATGTCCACTGATGTTTTTTCAGAGCTGTGAGGACCCACTAGTGGACCAAGCAAACTCTCCTTAGCAGGAAGCTACATCTCATTCAGAGCAGAGTCAGCAAGGACGCTGGTGTTCAAGTTGCACGTTGAGAGTACAGTGTCCTTCTGTCCTCGGGAATTTGGACTTGCTGACTTACTACAGTCACCTGCTGTGATTGTGAACAAGCTGTGCGACAGGACATGGACTAAAGCACACATGTAGTACATAGTATGACATATAGTCAGAAGACATCTGTCCCAGAGACCTATGTTTATATGGCTATGAACTGCAAGAGACCAGGCAAGGGGAAATATTGAACTGGCTTCATTGGCGAAAGCTAAAATAACTCTGTTGGGGTTACTAACTATTAACAGAGGTCTTATTTATTTACTGTTTATTGTGCTCCGGTCTGCCACTTATTATGTTTGTTCAGTGGTGAATGTTTTTGGCAACACGTCAAATTTGGTGACTCCTCTGAAGCAGCACCATGAGAAATTGAGTATCACTACTGCAAGGAAAACACAAGCTCAGTGCAAATGTTGCTCCCTTCATCATTTAAACTGCCTTTCTCTGGTCATTGGAGCACTTAAGAGGCCTAGTAACAGCTTGTAGCAGTATTCTATTTTTAATGTATTTTTAATATATTTTGTTTCATTTAAAATATAATTATATTTTTCTTTTGTTTATTTTTCCTTATTGTACTGCAAATGAATCAACCCATGATTTCCAAACAGATCAGATAAATGCAGTGTCATTGCGTCTTTTTAACATGCTCAACAATCACGGAAGTCTCTTCACACATTCATGTGAATATTTATAGATTACAGCTCAGCCTTTAATTGCATTATTCCAGAAAATCTTTTATATAAGCTGATTGCAGCTGAACTAACTTAATCGGTGTTTTTTTTATCTACGATTTCCTACAAAATGGGAAACAGGTGGTTCAAATCAATAACCACTTTTCTGATCTACAAATGGTGAACATCAGAGCTCCACAGGGCTGCTTATCTCCACTGCTGTATTCCTTCTATGCAGATGATTCTCATGACGACTCATTATTTAAGTTTGCTGATGATATTACTGTCATGGGCTGATAACATACCTATATGATTCAGATTTATTATATAGCACCTGGATTTAGTTCTTAAATTATGTTTGCTGGTTTTTAAATCATGTGTGACTGTTGTTATTACTGTGGATACATACACAAAAACAAATTCCTTGCATATTTTTATGCTTGGTAAATAGTTTGATTTGATTTATTACTGTATTCACATTTGGAAATCAACCCTGTGAACATATCAGAATATTAGTTATTAATTCTTTGAGTGGTTACCTCTTTTTGTTTGGGTGGTGTATGCACCAGCTGCTCGCTGTCCACTGTTCCAGCTTCTTGCAAAGGGTCTGAAAAAGCAAGGAGATATCAGTATATTCAGGCATACACACCAGCAGAACATGATCTAGTCTGGAATTATGTTTACTGTCCAGCATGTAAACCCTTGTTTAAAAAAAAAAATAAAATTCAATATAGACATTCTCCAAAAACAAAAACAATGGGAGCACATTTTTTGGCTATTAATAAAATGTTTAACTGTAAATGAATTGGCACATTTTGTAGTTCATCGAGTCCAATACCTCTGTAGATCTCTGTTAAACACGCCCCCTCTTCAACTTCAGTCATCGAGTTACCCTACAACACAACACATAACTGAGACTTCAGTCTTCTCTAAAACAGACATGGACCCTGTTCTTTACATGTGGATTAACTAAGCCAGGCTAACATGCAGATATCAGACTAAAATAATTCTGCTAAATCTCCATTTGGTACTTTGATCATCTTAAGGATTGATATGTTAATTCTGGATGAAGTTATCAATAACAATGTGTTTTTTTCTCCAAATTATAAAAAATGAGTTGGGGGGAAATGATGAAATCCATGCTAGATCAGCTGGTGTTGATCATGTGATTACATTTGCTTGAGGCAGGTGTGTTGGACCCTTCTCAGAATGCACTGGGGCAATAGATTCATAGACATAATCTTCATTTTACCACTGTCTTTGTTCTACATTGTGCTTCACAATGTTTTCACTGTTTCTATACTGTTAAACAGATTTACCCAGCCAGTGTGGTTACACCTTGATGTTGGTGTACGATTTGTGAGGTTTTTCCCCATTAGACATGTAAGCCTGCTTACATGTCTAATGAAAACAGTCAATGAAAACAGTTTCAAAGCAAAATCACTTTTGTATTTGCGACTGAAAACAGCTCTGAAAGTGGACAGAAATGTGGTTCTACCTTACCTTGTTAGGAATGGCCTCAGTCTGTACAGAAGGGTCTCCAAATTCCATTTCATTCTCTGGGGATTCTGGGAAGATAATCACAGTCACACACTATCTACTGTAATCACACAACAAGACAAACAACAAAATGTGTCTGGGCCCAGGGGACCTGTCTGTAAACTATGCTGATGAGTTGCTTTGGAGTCCTTGCTAAGAACCAGATGTCTGTCCAGTGGTAAAAGCACAAAACATACTCCCTCTGTGGTACACTATGATAATAGCTTCTCCCTCAACATACACCCTAATGTTTTAACATATTAACATTGTAAGTAAGACTGTGGTATTTATTATTGCCCATCTTACATTTTGTGCAACAGGTCTTAGAAATGACTCACCAAATGATTTGCTCTGGACCTACAATTTAAGAAATGGCACAGTTTTAATATAAGAAAAAAATAAGCAGTTTTATTAAATGGAAATGATTAACATTCAGATATATATTAAGGCAAACATCTAATAATGTATGTATACATAGAAAAACAAAAGATACTGCAAGCGCAACAGAAGTGGTTTCAGAAGGTAGACTCCTTCACTTTTTGCACAGTCATTTAAATACCATTTGACCAACTTCAAGCGGGCGTACATATGGATTTACACTTTTACACAAAGTGGCCACTGTTGAGATGGTTGACTTCTGGCAAGTTCTCCCCTCTCTGCAGGGGACATCTGAAGTTCTATTACATTGACTATTGGGTCACCTCGGTTTACGCTTTATCTACTGTCTCTTGAAATTACAATAAAGCTATGGATTTGTCAATCATCCTTTTCTGGGAAACACTCTAGTGATTCCAAACTTCTTCCATTTCACAACTGCCACAGAGGTCTATAGAGAATCTGTGGATCTTCTTGGTTTGGTTTTTGACATGCTGTGTGAAATGTGGAACTTACAGATGTCTGCCTTTTTAAACTATGTCCAATTAATTCAGTGGACTCCAGTCAAGTTGTAGACATCGCATAGATAATTAAAGCAAACAAGATGAATCACATTGTCATAATGTGTTTTTTAGTGCTGACTGTCAAAAGAGCAGTTTCATTCATTTTTAATCTACAACATAAATTAGTCAAGAAGTGAAGGGGTCAGAACATTTTCTGAAACCAGTGTACAATGATTAAAAGGTTTCCATTCTTATGTACAGTACTGCTACTACAACAAATGCATTTTATACCTCGTTTGATTATTCTCCCAGGAAGAGCTTCCTGAAGTTTAAATGAAGTTTGTGTTTTATTGATCCTGAGCTGCAACTACCCCAGAGTTGCAGCTCCCAGTGAAAAACACTGCAAATACCTCACAAGAAGAAACAATGTGATGCAAATTACCATTTGCTCTGCTGTCATCCTGCTGAGACACACTTCTCTCGCACTGGTGACGTTAACATTGTCACTTGGCTCATTTGAAACTGCAGTGTAAAAGGAGGAAAAAACAAAAGGCAAAGATCACCAATAATTCACTACAGACCAAAAAAAAAAAAGTGTATTTCTGGTGCATTTTTAGTTGTTCATCTGACAGCAGTCTAATACCTGTGCAGACATCTGTCAAACAGGCCTCTTCAACAAAACAGGCCACCTCTTCATCCTTATAACAACAAAAATGGCAAAAGACATTTCAGAAATCAGTTTAGGAGTTTAATGTATAATTCTTTGCATTAACATCCATTACCATATCTGGAGGGGGAACTGTGCAGGCTCGTGGCTTGCTGGCTGCTGTATCAATGTCAGCAAGCAAGGCTGCAGAGACAGGGTGAATAGAAACAATGATCAGACACATGATCAGTGCTTTGTTACTTATGAGCAGTGGAATAACCAAAAAGTCTCTTATCCCATATTCAGATAGTGTCCAGCAGGCTAAAAAATGAACGCCAAAATAATAAAATGATTTGACCTACCATGCTTTTGAATAAATGCTGAACTACTGGTTCCAAAAATGACTTGTTTGTACTTCTCCATGTTAATTTCACCTATACTATGTACTAGGGGTGCAAGGGTACACAGAAATCATGGGTTGGTTCATTTGCAGTACAATAAGGAAAAATAAACAAAATAGAAAAATAAAATTACATTTTAAATGAAACAAAATATATTAAAAATACATTAAAAATAGAATACTGCTACAAGCTGTTACTAGGCCTCTTAAGTGCTCCAATAACTAGAGAAAGGCAGTTTAAATGATGAAGGGAGCAACATTTGCACTGAGCTTGTGTTTTCCTTGCAGTAGTGATACTCAATTTCTCATGGTGCTGCTTCAGAGGAGTCACCAAATTTGACGTGTTGCCAAAAACATTCACCACTGAACAAACATAATAAGTGGCAGACCGGAGCACAACAAACAGTAAATAAATAAGACCTCTTATCCATTGTTGTACTTCACAGGAAGATGAAGTGCTCTCAAACAGGTGAAATTAATGGTAAGGGATGTCTTTTTGCTTGCATTGGTCTTCATGTTCGTAGCCAGAGGCCTGGCTAAGCTCAGCATGCTGTGTGTGTTTATTGTGCTCCGTTCTGCTGCTTAATATGTACATGTGGGAACAGATTTGAAAAAAATGTGGGTTGCACGCAAAACAAGCCTACTGCTACCTACTACTATTAAAGACTGAAAGCTGGCATTAAGTCCTAAAGTTCAGTACAAATATTTGGACCTTTACGCCCCTAGTATGTACACAATAATATGAGAAAAAATAGAATTACCACTTTACATTTCAGTGCCTCCACCAACCAGTCAAATTCACAGGAATGGGACAGATGTGAGGTCACCTACCTTACACATTCAACCATCAAAATCTAATTAGCTCATGCCTGAATCCGGCATGGAGGCATTCAAAGAAAAAAATCTGAACAAAGCCTGAAGTGTCTAAACAATTTAAATGGCATGATAGAAACCAACTTTAATATGTACCCTCATGATGAGCCAAGGTTTCCTCTTCAGTCATCAAGTCAATCTAAAACAGACAAGTTAAACATGTTAAACTCATATTTATCCATCAGAAGTACCAAAGGTAAACTGCCTTATAGGTACTATATTACCATTGCATTACCTTGATATGTGATGTCACACATGGCAGCGCCTCCTGTGGGATGCCATCTCCAGCTTCAATTTCCTGTTCTCTGGAAGCATCTAAAAACACAACAATGCTCCAAAAAAAAAAAAAAAAAAAAAAAAAACAACTCCTACATGGCAATGTACTTTTCTTTATTGTGACTGTACGCAACTTGTATACATGACTGGAACTAAGTGAGTATAAACCAAAAGGTGCCGTCTATTTTTTGGGGTTTTCTTGGAAATTTAAAATCGCTTGGATTTAGAAGCCTTGTATTATGAGCCCACAAACTCTGCAGTCCCAGTAATTTAAATCAGGTGCTGCGCCTTATCAAAATGTTTATGGCATGGAATGGCTCTCCTTTTAGAACAACTGATGAAAACATTAAAAAAAACTGCGTTCTTTAAAACCTCTAACTGATAAAGAGAGGAGTGACTGCCCTAAAATATGGACCCATCTGCCTTTTACTGGAAAATTTGGAAAACAAATCTTCAACAGATGTCTCTCAAAAAGAAAAATCTAACCAAAGAGAATGAGTTTATAACAATATGGGACTTGATTCTCAGTTCTGAAGTTATAAGGAGCAGATTTACTGATGTTTAACCATGAAGGACATTAGGAAACACAGGGAGGAATGCAGATTTTGACACAAATTGCAGCAATGAAGGTTTTAAACTACCTTAAATGCCTCCATGACCTGTGAGTCACTGTGCCACTGCTGGCCCGACTCCTACTGCTGACCGTGTTGCTGAGTGGGCCAACACAGCAGGCAAACAACAACTACTAACTCCATGTTGTTTCTACAGCCCCTGCATGGACCTTCTCTGTCCTTTCACCTCATGCAAGATGTTTGCTTTGTGCCTCTCGTCTTTAACACTCAAAACCTATGGAGTGTTGTGTTATTTGAAAGAGGAACCACTCACCAGACAACTGCTGCGCAGGAATCACAGGTGAGGGCAGCAACTTGGCCTGAATCTGTAAGAAAACAAAAGGGAAGAATAAACACTTCTAAAATGTCTTTTTTTTGCCACACTGAGCACTAAAAGACTAACTGCTTTGTACAGCAATAAAGTATACTGTAGTTTAACACTCTAAATCTCAACACCTCACCTATCTAGCTACATAATTTTCTAGCTGAGAGGATTTTTTTTCTTTGTTAAACATCCCTTTTAAAGGTTTTCCTTGTTCTGTGGAGCAATACATCCCACTTCAGGTACCTGCTCTGAATTTTCAGAAATCATATCAACTGCCTCATGCAGATCAGTGCACTCCTTGTGAAGAACAGCTTCACATGAAGCCTTTAGACCAGGGGTGCTCAATACGTCGATTGCGATCGACCGGTAGATCGCAAAGGCAGTGTTGGTAGATCGCGTGCCATTCAAAAATAAATTAGATGTATCCGGCGTAAAACACATGCCAAATGTTAACATGCGAATGGTCCGTGTGACGATTCACTGTGGCGACCCATAACAGGAAAAGCAGAAAGTGACAATCATTCATATATAGCCTACCACCCATCCTCCCTATGTCATTTGCTACTTGACTGACATGCAGGGCAGCCAGTCTGAGATCTTGTCTTTTCTGACACACGAGTCACCAAGCATGCACAGCCAACCGCACGAGCTACTGCAAAACTCCAGTGAGCAAACTACCTTGTCAGCCTTGGAATTAATTTATACTAAAGGGTAAAATGAGTGGGGGAGCCGAATCAAGTAAGAAACCAGAAACGTACCGAAAACATCTCGTGGAATGGGAGGACTTTTTTTGCGACGTTATATTCGAAGTGCGTTTGCTTAATCTACCAATCTACCATCACTATTCCAAAGGGAAATGTGGAGCGGCACTTTCAGACTGTTAATAAAAACTACGACACTCATTCACACATTTATTTTGTGTGTGTGTGTGCGCGCGCGTAGTATTTTTAATGCAGGTTGATCATTTTGACTTGGTCATTTGAAAAGTAGCTCACAAGGCGAAAAAGTGTGAGCACCCCTGCTTTAGAAGAAGACAATGCTCAATTAGTTTTCATCAAGTCTGACTACTCATATGTACATTAGACAGCACACTCAAGTCATAGAACAGTCAAAATCTACACATATAGTATATGCATACAGTATACATAAGTGTATGCAATGTCACTGTCTCATAATTTACCATTTGCGGTGTTGCCACTCTGGTAGGAGAGCTGTCTCTTACAAGCACAATCTCGCTGTCAATGCTGTCCTTACTTGGAGCTAGACATCCAAAGAAAGTATGGGGAAAAAACAAAACAAAACAAACAGCAAATGCAAATTTACCTTAACACAATCATTGACCACAACTAGACAACAGATGAAAATCAGCTGTGAGTCAACTAAAAGTTACAAGCAAATACAACATTAGCTAATTGTTACTCTTTTCCAAATTAACATAATTTCCATGAACTTATTTGCTTGTTCCTCCTTTTGTGATTAGTAAGAAATGTGTAATAAAGCACACCAGCCAAACATAGGCAAAAGGAGGAAATGTGTTGCTTACCAGAACAAACCATGTCAAAGCTGCCTCCTATGTTCATCTCTTCCACTGAGGAATCCAAGTCTGTTGTTGCGAACTCTGACTTGTCTGTGGCCTTGTTGAAGTTCTCATCCAGTAGAGAATTTAAGTCATCCGGCCCAATAGTGTCCATCACTGAAGCACCCTTCTCTTCTGAGCCTTTGTCAGTTTCGCTAACATTCTTGTCACAACCTTGGTCAACTTTGTTAAGTGGAGATGGCATAGTTTCTTCTATAACACTATCACATGACAAAATCTCTTTGGGTTTAGTCCGATTTATAACCATAGCAGGGACTATGTTCAGTACTTCAGTGGAAACACTTTCCTGAGATCCAACAGCCATATCATATTCTGACAAATTCTGCTCCCTCTCTTCTTTAGGGGACTCAGCAAAAGACTGCAAATGAACAGAATCCTCAGGGGGTTTCCTGGTCTTTGGACTACCTGCTAGTTTGACTTCATTTGCAGTGTGAAGGTCAAACACCTCATCACTGAGCTGTTCTTCACTAGGGTCTATCAGAGGGTGAATGTGAGTTACAGCAGTATCCATTTCTTGGCTTTCCAGATACTCTAGTTGATCCTCAGGTAGTGCAGCCTCTTCTACAGCCGAGTCACACTGCAGTGGTATTTCATAGGACGTCATCAGTCTAACAGCATCAGGTGTGTTTTCTGTTGTGGAGCTCTTCCACCAGGTTTTCATCACCTCGTTTATCACGTGGCCATCACACTGCATCTGCACAAAGCACTTGATTTTTTCTTCATCTCTTGCTACTCTAGTGATAGTCAACTGTAGCAACTTGTCTGCAGTAAGTGTGTACAACTCATCTACTGCACCACTATCCCAATAACCACAGGATGAATCAAAGCCTTCAAGTTTGCACAAAAATGCTTGTGGAGGAGTTTCCACCAAGTCAGGGGCCATTTCCCTCACATCTCTAATGTTGACTTGAGACTTGTTTCCATAGTCCACAAAGAGAACAGACAGACTGTCTCCATCTTTGTCGATGACCTTTGCACGGTACCAAAGATGATCATCTGAAAAGAGAGCAATGCAAGGGCTGCCAGGGGAGAGAAAGCCTGGATCTACACATTTGTGATCAGCTGCAGTACCAATGTCTGAGACAGTTAATGTTATCTTATCAAGCTCTTCTGAGTCAGCACACTGACACCAAATGTTCTGAACATCATTTATGCTTGTGATGTAGGCCTCTAATTGTTGTCCCTCTAAAAACTCTTGTTGATAGTAATGTAGAGAACAGAGGTTCAGTGGCAATTCCGCTGAGTTCTCTAGCAATTGCCCTATGTCAGAGTTCTGGACAGGTTCTTCCCCAACTTGTTCAAGTTTTTCTGAAACGATTTCAGAACCATCATTTGAACATCTAGTTGGTACTCTACACATAACATGTACATCACCATCTTCAAGACTGACTTCCCACACAGATCCTGACTTCCTGACAAAGGTGCACTTGAGCACTTTTTCTCCATTACCCCCAATGTCTTCTTTGAAAGTTGACACCACTTCTGGATCAAGGACTTCCTCCTTTGCAAGAGCTGCAGCACTACTCAGCATGCAGTGCATGCTGTACACAGGAAGCTGCAACAAAGACTTAGGCAGACTCCATATCTTGGAAATTGGCATCATTGCTGTATTACCAAAATCAACAAACTCAACTAGAGCCATTGTACTGGTGTGAATTTCTCTTACAACTGCTCGGTACCATGAGGAATCATCTTCAAACTCTGCTTGAACAACGTCACCTGGATGCACATCTTTAAAGCCACTGGTTTTAGGGGTTGATCTGGAATCATTAAGACTTTCTGAAATGGAGAGTATTTCACCCTCCTCTTTGACAAGCTGAACATAAAAACTCAATGGGCTGTTGCAATGTGAGATATAAACATCTGCTTTCATACCCACTGTGATAGATTTTGAGGGTAAGTCTGCAAGTTTAGGGAGTTTTTCAGCATTGCTTTCTTTCTGTGATTCGGGGCCAAGTGACCTGGAATTGATCAATTGTTCAGCATCTGTGGTAAGATTTTCTCTGGGGGTGACAAGGGCACCTGTTGGTTCTGAACCACTTTGTGTCCTTTGATGAGGAGGTCTGTACATCTCAAACGGAGAAGGTTTACCTTTCTGAAGGTTTTCACAAATGTGGTGCAATGGCTTTGGTACAGACTGCAGATTCAGATCTGCAAATTTTAGCTCATCTTTCACTCGATGTGCTGGTTTCAGGACAGATACACTACTTTTCTTGACACAAACTTCCATTTCTGTAGCTTGTTTTGGGCTAGCTTTTGGAATCTTTTGCGCATGTTTTGCTGAAGCTTCGAGTGATTTCTGCCTCTGGTAGACAACCCGCTCTTCTGTGTACATCTCAATCGGAAACACCTTCTTGATCTTTGAATTAATCTGAGTGTTTCTGTGATACAACTCAACCAGAAGTTTTCCATCAGGTTCTCTGGCCACTACTAGTGCTCGGAATTTACGTTCTGTTGCACATGTTTCAAACCAGCTGTTCACCTCACTGGAAACACTGGCGGGGACGTCAGAGAGACTACACACAACTGCTTGCACAGGCACAGACATTATGTCACTGGCCTCTCTGGGAACTGGGAGCAAGTCAGATTTGTCCACCTCAATAGTGTCACCATAATCAACAAAGTGAACTAGGATTGCTGGCTTTGTGGCCTTGATCTGTCCCCTGTACCACTGCCCATCAGTGTACTTAGCAAAGCACAGTGTTCCAAAGACTGTTGGGAGAATTACATTTTGTATCTGATGGCAGAGATCGCTCACTTTGATCTTGAGATCTTTCAGTATATCAGCATTTCTCTCAAGCTGGCAGAAGAAATGACTGACAGAGTTCACACATGTCACTGTGACCTGTTCCTCTGTCCCTGTTTTGACATTGTGCGTTGAGTAGCAGTATGTGTCAAGATGGAAAGATGGTCCAGAGGCTCTCTTGGGAGGTGTACTTTGGACAAGATTGACCATACTGTTGGAAACACTCTCAAAGGGAGTTTCTAGATCCACAACATTGTAAACATGTTTCTGCTCACTGTACATGACAGCATATATGGTGCACTTTAAAATCACAAAGTTGGATGTAGCACTTTTAACAAAGTTGTGGAATCTTGCTAATGCTTCTTCGTGCCACTCATTTGTAACAGATAAGGGATTGAGAGGGTTTATGAGACTGCATCGAAAAGCTTGTCCTGGTAGAGTGAGCAAATCTGGGCATATCTTCCTCAGGTCATAGAGGGAGACAGTCTTGGTCTGACCATAATCAACAAACAACACATCCACATGAGGTGTTTCATGTTTTTTAAGTACAAGGGTCCTGTACCACATTTTATTATCAGGGTGGCGAGCAACACAAGCTGTTCCTGCAAAAGCCTGAAACTCACTACCTTCATAATGAGCCTGTATGTCATGCATAAGCAGTTGCAAGTGCCCTGCATTTTGCACTAGTTGGCACCAGAAGTCATTTGGGCTTATGATGCATGACACGTTGACATCGAGGAAACTTCCAATGGGAACCCTGAACTCCTTGAATGTAGGATTGTTTTCATTACTGGGAGGCCCATGAGTGTTTTGGGTCTGGAATGATATCCCACTGTTCCTGTATACACCTGAGATTCTTGCATCTGGATGTTCTGCAAGAGACAGAATGGCAGGGTGCATGGTCATCTTGGCTTTGGGCTGTGTATGGGTTTCGGCTCTTTCAGCAAGGTTAGCGTTGCACATCAGTGTACTGAGATCGCTTTCTCCCTTTGCTTTTGGATCTGTTAGCTGGACAACATAGCTGCCATCATGTTTTGCTATCACATGTATATTTAGTTCTTTATCTGTGACTGCTTTAATGAAAAACTCAGAGGCACCTTGGCTCCAACTTGCATCTTTAGGTCTGACACCAGCCAGGGTGCATTTCAGTGCAAGCCGTGGCAGCATTTTTAACTTCTCAGGAAGAATCCTGATGTTAAGCCTGTCAACCACTTCGGTGATTCCATAATCGACAAAAAACACCTTGATTTGCATCTCACCAACTTCAGATACAGTTGCCCTATAGAAATCACCATCTTTTGCCTTGGCAGCACAGTAGAGCCCAACATTTGGATTTCTCACAAGATCATCTGAATCTTCATATAAATGATTGATACTATCCATCACTTCCTCCAACTCAATGGCATAGTTCTGTGTTTGGATCCAAAACTCTGATGGGTTGGAAACATGCTGAACAATTGCCATATGTGAGGAATTCAGAGGGAGTTCTTCAGCTGGAAACTCGTCTAATACTCCGTTCCCTTCTTTTTCCTCTCCAGTCTTCCCAGGAGTTAACATCTTTCTTTGGATTCTTTCTTGCTCGTTTGGATGCCTGTGGCCATATGCAGTGCTACAGAGGGCATAATCTACAAGTGAGGTCTCACATTGCAGCAAACTGCTTTCCTTGGCCCCAAACAGGATGTTAAGGTTTGTGTTTTCATGCCCATAGAGTGTAACATAGTAAACACCCTCAGATATGCTCCGATACTCAAATTTGGCAATCACTGTCTTACATAGGAGAAGGGTCCTGAGATTGTCAATCTGGCTGGCTTTCCATCCAACCCCTTTGTCAATGATTCCATGGAGGGAACAGAGGTAAGTTACAACAGGCATCCTGAAGAACTCTCCAGCTAGTGGTCTTATGTTCTTCACGTGAACAAACTGTTTGGTTCCATAGTCAACATTCAACACTTCCACCACTTTGTTAGTTGGGAACACCTTTTGTAGAACAGAGCGGTACCACCTGCCATCATTTCCTTTCGCAGCACAAGGAAAACCAACCATTTCTGGACCTACAGTGCAACTGGCCATTCTGCCCTCACAGCACTGTGTGAGCTGTTCTGAGAGTTTCCTCAACTCCAGTGAAAAGACCTTCAATTGGCAAAAGATCTGCTGTGGATTTGTTACTTCTGTGACAATGACAGTCTCCATAGCTCCCGCCGGCAATTCTGGGTACATGAAGAGCACTTGCTTGTGCAGTTGCTCAACTTCTCGCATTGAAAGCTGAGTCTCTGTTGACACTTCAGCTCCACTAGGAGACAGCAGTGATATGTGTACAAAGTCATGGAACATGTCTGGAGATAGCTTCTTGGCAAATCCCATCTCATACATTTGTTTGGATATACAAGGGATGTGCAGAAGAAGCGTCCTGTGGGGAACCAGTACATCTTGCACATGTGCCTTCACAGATTTCCCAGTGAAAGATCTCAAAAATTCAAGAGCGACTGGAGACCATCTGTTCTCAGGTGAAAGTGGTAAAACATTAGCTAGTACACAAAATTCCACTTCAGGTAGCAAGTGGAAGTGCGCCTTCTTACCCCATGCCAGCTTATTTGTAGTGGTGCTAGATGTCATCCCTTTGTCAATGAGGTACATACTGTATTTTGAGCCATTTTTTGAGACTATGCGGGACCTGTGCCAAGTACCATCTATCTGAACCAAGCACTGGTCTCCGGGAGTTCCTTCAAACTCTTGAAATGCATTTCCTGGAGACTGAATGTCTTTGGCCAGACATTCATATTCTGCTGTCTGCTCCGGTCTAAAATTCCCCCAAAACTCCACAAGCACACAAAGAGGATGCAAGTTGACCCTTGTTATGAGAATTGTTATATGTGATCCTTGTGCAGGGAGTCCTATGACTGAAGACATTTTGACAGCTTCATGAATTCCACACTATCCATAATTTGTCACTTCTCATCAACAATGCTGTGTAGCAGTGAATGTTACCTGGAAAACATACAAGTACACAAAAACACACATTAAACAATACTGCATTCCAATATAACTTTTTGGAGACATTACTTGCATAACAAATTAAGCCACCCATTAAAAATATGTTAAAGCAATTTTAATAACTGTCTATAATTTTCCAAGTGCCAACAATTTTCAAAGTGTATTCAGCTCTCATTTTAGCTAATTAACACAGACACAGAGGAAATGCCGCTACATAAACACCATATTTTCCAATCCACTAATCTAGCTCACTGGTCTCTTCAAGTACTGATGCTTCTGGTCCTTACAAACTGAGAACCAAGGAACACAGAGTCAGTCACTCCTGTGTGCCCAAATAATAATGGCAAAGATAAAGAGTAATTTAGTGTCAGCCCTAAAAGATAGCCAGCCACCCTAGTCCCAGGCTAACTTAGAACTAAGGAAGAAAACAAGGCTCATAATATGTGTTCTGCTGATAATGCCATGGAGAGAGCAATGAGAGAATATTTTTAGGGATATTTTGTTGTATTTACATTCATTTAATTTTCCCAGTAACTGTTAGAGTCTTGAAGAGGGGGAAAGGTTTTCTGTTGAGTGAAGGGAGCTGAGCAGTTTGACACTAAGCCATGTTTTTCAGTTTGAAAAAAAAAATAATTTGCCTAGAATTCAAAGAAATGTCCTACTTAAGATAGTCAAGAACTAAATAACTTTTTGCAACAGATAAATGTAGATGCCTATTTGACTATTAGCTATTACTATTTGACTCTTCTGTTCTAGGTTTTCTATGGTATGAAAATTTCTGGTTATCATAACATGCACATTTTCTTATTACCAGTATCAAAAAAATGCTATGCATTTGCATCTCCTTTCCTCACAGACTGCCTGTCAGACTTGGCAATTAGTGCCACACACACACACACACACACACATACACACACACGTGCAGCAGAGCAGGGTTGCAGTGGTATACCATGGTATGAAAAGTGATGGTTATTATACCATGCACATTTGCTTATTACCAGTACTGAAGAAAAAAAAAAACTCTATGCGTGTGCACCTTTCTTCCATGACTGCCTGTCGCAACAGGCACCACACACACACACACACACACACACACACAAATAGCAGACAGGAGGAGGCTGATAGCCCATCACCAAAAAAACATCGACCAAAAAAGGAATTTCAATCAGGAGCACGGGGTTGCTTTGGATATCCCAACAATGAACATCTTCAAGATCAAAGTATGTGTCATGTTTAAAACTTTAATCCCAAACAATAAAATGTATGAATGTATAAACATCAGCCATAGAATGCACCATGAAAATAATTTTCCACATTGTCTGGACTCATCTTGATCCCAATCTAACCTGATCATAAGCACACACACACACACACACAGAATATGAAAAGCTTTGGGAGACAGCTGTCCACCACAAGATGAAACCAGCCAAGACACCAGCACAAAAACACACTCAAACTTTAGCAGAATCATTCTGCAAAAGTGATTTCAAACTCTGCAGCATTTCCCATACACTGATTTATTTGTGGTGGTCGCCGCAATATCAACATTGGCCGCCACATAGATTTTCTATTTTATATATTTTAAACAGGCTAAATCTTATTTTGATGTACTTCCATGCATAGCACATATATTTGCTCAGCTCCATTTCTCTCTCACACACACATATTAATCTCTCTCACACAAACACCTGACAAAGGGCTGTCAACGAGCTCCTCCTCTCTGGGTTGGTGTCTTTAAACAACACTGTCAATTGCGGAGATCCAGCTCTTCTAATATATTATTACTGTAGCAACCTAGTAAGAATAGCTAAGCTAACACCAGAATACAGCTGTTCCCAAGGTCAGCAAGCTGTATACAGCATGGATGTATATGGACTGCTCTGCAAGTGGATAAAGTTTAGGAGAGTTCATAAACTCTGATGCTGAATATTTGCCCCATCAGTCCAGAAGCATATTGAAAAACACACATGGGAAAGCTGATCAGGCCAACTGGTGTGATTAGGGATCCAACTGATTCCTTTTGAATATTTACTGGCTTCAACGAGTGATGCTGAAGCAGCAAAAGAGGGTCAGGAAGAGAGAGTGTAGTGTGTGCAGCGCATAACATCTTGTGCACCTTGAGCAATGCTGATTGTAGCAAATTGTTGTGAGCAAGAAAAATGTAGTTATATTGTTAACAGCAAAGTCTAATGAGTGCTGTGTATGAAAATGAGTTGAATCCTTGTCAACTTGAGACTGAGACCAGCATTGCATGTGTCCAGCAGGATGAAGAAGGAGCTGAGCCAAAAGGCAGTCAGTCTACCCTCGAACCCTCATCTATGGTCGCAACCAGTGGGTTAGTGACCAAAAGAATAACATCCACGAATACAAGCAGCCAAAATGATCTTCCTTCGTAGGGTGGCCGGACTAACCCTGAGACAGGGTGGGGAGTTTGGACATCCGGAAGGAACCCGGAGTAGAAACACTGCTCCTTCACATTAAAAGGAGCCAGTTGAGGTGGTTCAGACATCTCATCAGATGCCTCCAGGCAGTGACGTGCGGTCAGGGGAGGCAGGTGAGGCAGAGCCTCCCCTGTCAGTCTTGGAAAGAAAAAAAAGTTAACCATAAAATATAATAAATGTTAATATTTGTCGGCTGGTGTGTGTTGTAGGCCCTTTTGCCGTTCAAATCCGATGTTGAAGGAATTTTTTTCAATAAAGAATAGCAGAATTTCCGTATGTCCTGTTCAAGTAAATGGAGGAGATGCGCGATGAGGCAGCACTTTGCTGTGTCTCTCGGTGGATCGTGTAATCCTCACAAACTGTATGCGATGCAAATAGTATGTCGCTGTCCCTCTATATATCACAAATAAAATGCTTTCAAACACTCTGATTATATGCTCTGCCTTGCCATAATCTGGATAATGTATAAAATGTAGTTCTGTAACGTGTTTAGGCTCGCAGATTAACCATAAAACCCAGTAAAAAAAGTTACTCGATGAGGCAAACAGTACGCCTGCCTCAAGGCAGAGGGCGCTAGTGAGCCCACAGATTCTTGTGCTACCTACAATCTTCTTCGTGCGTGTTTATATTTCCTTTACAATCCGCCTTATCAAAATGGAAGATTACATTTCCAAGCTGAGAAAATTCGCAAATCTGGACTTTCAATCAAAACATTTTTGACAGTCTGGACATTTTTGTCCAGAAGGATCTTCTTTATTGAAAACATTTGTTTTAATATTGGATTCGAACACTAAAAGGGTTTGTAATACATACTAGCTGACAAATGGATTTTGTGTACAAGTAAAGGTAAGACCATAAACTTTTATTATTTATAGTTAGAAATAAGCTCAACTGGAATAAATTTTAACCTCAAATTAAATATGGGTCACGTTTGTGTGAAGAATGCTGATGTGAGATATAAAACATACAGTTAACAGACAATTTGTTAACGGTTCATTTGTATTTGTAAATCTGACTGTAAAAGAGTCAGTGCCTCACCAGCTGTCAACCTCACCGCACGTCACTGCCTCCAGGGTGCCTCTCTCTGGAGGTCATCCGGCACGTCCAACGGGTAGGAGACCCCGGGGCAGATCCAGAACACGCTGGAGAGATTATGTATCTCCTCTGGCCTGGGAATGCCTCAGAAGCCCACCAGAGGAGCTGGACTATGTCAATGGGGAGGGGACGCCTGGACTACCTTGCTGAACCTGCTTCCACCGTGACCCAATCCCGGATAACCAGATGATAATGGATGGACTCAAACGTCTTTGGCTTTTAAGTAATGCTTTTCCTAATTCCAAGCTACAAATAATCACACTGTAAAAGTTTAATTTTAATACTTTACAAACAATTAATTGCTTGCTGTATTTTTTTTTATAAAATAATGAGAAAATATTAAACAAATACTAATAATGGCAAAACTATTATGGTAACTTAAATCCTATATTATATAACTGCAGAACTGAAGACTTATTTCACACACAGGTCAGTGCTCAAATATTCGTGTGTTCTTGAGTGTGCATAAACTTAAAGTAGATTACCTAAAAACAAATCCCAAATAATAAAACACAGATGAATGGCAGTATCTTTGTGAAAAATTCGTGGGTTTTATGAAGAAATTTTTCTTAAAAACAGCTGGTGAATGAGACCCACTGCTAGCAAGCTATATCTTTAGCTACATTTTGACTTTAATTGTATTAGTCAGGTTAATCGTCGTATTGACACGACCGTTTCCTTCATTAAAACTGCTGCTTTCACTACTTTTCTAGAGTTTACTTACACTTAAAACTGACTAACTTGGAAGTTCGGTTATATTATGTAAGCCAACATTAGCTAACTAAACGTCCCATTCAGATGGGGAATGAAAGTGCCGCCACAGTCTGATATGTGAGGGGAGTTCTTCTTCCCAGCTGAGATGGAGGTTTGACCAGGATTCACACACTTAGAAGACAGACAGCATTGAATGGCAGTATCTTTGTGAAAAATTCGTGGGTTTTATGAAGAAATTTTTCTTAAAAACAGCTGGTGAATGAGACCCACTGCTAGCAAGCTATATCTTTAGCTACATTTTGACTTTAATTGTATTAGTCAGGTTAATCGTCGTATTGACACGACCGTTTCCTTCATTAAAACTGCTGCTTTCACTACTTTTCTAGAGTTTACTTACACTTAAAACTGACTAACTTGGAAGTTCGGTTATATTATGTAAGCCAACATTAGCTAACTAAACGTCCCATTCAGATGTAGCTGTCTAGCGTTACTTTAGCAACTGCCTAAACATTTCATACTACGTTAGCTAATGTTTCGTCGGCACACCGACCATTTGGATTAAAACTGAAGTGGCAGCCTGCAGGTGCTAAATTACCTGTGGATAACATGATAATGATTCTGCAGTTTTGATTAAAACATTCTGTACTTAGCAGTAACTCACCCTTTTCTTCTATCCTGCCGATTCTTCTTGAACTCGATGATGGCGTTAACACAGATTTATCAACCAAGGTCAGACCGGCAAATCCAAGCAGCTGCCTCGCTGCTAACGTTATTTCCAATATCTTAAATTTAGCAGATTTGGCTAGCTAATGTTAGTCCACTTCCAGCGTATTTCTACAGGCAGATGCATATGTGACAGATAATCCGTTCAACAACTTCCGAAAGTAAGACAGAAAACAAACTCTACAGCAAAAGAAAAGGTTAGCAAGTGAGTAACGTTTCCTATCCTTTACCAAGCGCGTGCCAATAGCTCACAGACTTTCCGCCTTTTTTTTTTTTTTTTTTTTTTTTTTTTTTTTTTTCCCCCCCGCTGAACCCTGTCACAATGGGAAAATAAAAAAAAGTTGATTAACCTCTAGAGTCCTGAGCTTTGGAAACCCAAGCTGTGCGGTCCTCATATGAGGACGCAGGGACTCTAGAGGTTAAAATGAAGTAAACGTTATATTTTATGGTTTAATTGGTTAATCCTGCTTTGAAAAATGACTTAAAATTGTATTTTTATTGAAAGATTTCATAAATGAAACAACAGATGTATCCCTTATAGTGTATATGCACCATTACTAAACATTTCAAATCACCATGCTAGAGGTAACTACAGCGTGTCCTTTCATGAAGAATAATCAGAATCGAATATCAATTTCCAAACATTTATTAACATAACTAAACAGACCATCGAATAAAGCAATTTACAGAGCTCTGGGTTCCATCTCTATCTGAAGCCCTGACCTCAACAGCAAAACCGTTCAACTCGTTTTCAGGACGAGAAGGAACACTGTCCTCCTCCATTCAGTTGATTTTATACAATTTCAAATGTGCCATTGTAGGCTGGTCCGGTCCTCTCGTGCTGTTCTATTGGTCCATCTATCCATCCGTCCTCCTCCTGCATCTTTTCTGCTCCAATGGGAAAAGCAGCTTCCTAAAGATGGTGGAAATTCTACTGTCTGAATTCCTACACTCACTTCTTTCTTTGTTACACTATATGTGACATGGCTTCCCGTTTGGCTAATTAAACTGTCTTGCCTGTGTGTGTCTGTATATTGCCCTGCCTTTGAAGTTGTCTTCCTCTTGTTGGCTTTTAGATCTAATCTCTTGTTTATTACCCTTGGTGTCCCAGTGACCCCAAATTCCCTGGCCTCTTATAAGTAAGCAAACTTATGTGTGCTCTAAACTAAATCTTAACTATGATAGAATTACCATACGCAAACAAAGTAAACACACAGGTTGACTAATCAACAAGCATAATGTTAATCTTCTACTAATTAAGTTCTTAATTCATCAAATGTTAGAATCAACCTTAAAGTATGACTTTGTCAATAATTTTACCCAACATAACCTATTAATCCATGAATGCAAGACTCTGAGCCTGGCAGTGCAGATCAGTACTTTGACAGTGGAGTTAACCTTTCCATGTTTTTATTTACCACTGTAAGGGTTAGGGTTTAATTACCACTGTAATCCTAATTTTGAGTCCAGTTGTTCCATCCCGAAAACTGGAAATATCCAGGTTACGGTTTGGGGATACATGTCTAAATAGAATATTATTTAAAATATGGAAGATGTCATTTCTGTGGGAAGGAAGAATCTATAAAAGATGCTATATTATACTGCATAGCATATGAGGTTGAGAGGAGGGAGATTATTTAGAAATGTATAGATATAAAGGTGGTATTTGATCTGGATGATATTTTACAAAGATACTGTGGACACATTTTTTTATTCCAATATTTAAGAAGAACAAATTTGGTGGAGCGAATTTTAGTGATTATATTAAAGATTAGTGGTGTTTGTTATAGTTGAAATGTTTAATTATTAGAATTAGGGCAGAGTAATCCGATTTCTTATCACCACTCCTATCCAATTGGTGGCGGTAATGCACCTTAGGTTGGCTTGCAAACCGCCAATAAACACCATAGGAAGAGGAAGAAGAAGAAGAGGAAAAGGAAAAAGAAGAGCAAAAGCGGAAATTCCGCATTGCTGCCATTTTGACGTTAAGGGTGAAGAGCTCGGAAACTGCGTGTTTTTTCAGCGGCCTTATTTACAGAGCATTTACACAATGGCTATGCAAGCAGCGAAACGTGCTAACGTAAGTTTTGGGGGAAATGGGTGGTGTATTCTGTGATGAATATAACATAATGCTGTCTTGGTTTGTCTAGAAGCTAGCATTAGCATACGGTTAGCCGGTCAACACGCAAACTAATCAAAACAATTCATAGTGTTAAAACTTATCATCATATATATATATATATATCAGGAGTGGTTTCAGTACTTAGGAAACTATGTACATATGCAAGTATAACTATGGTTTGTGTGTGGATAGTATTTTATTTTATTGTTTTAATGAATTGCTTTAGCTGTCGACATGATTCCTTGTTGGTATAACGCTGCTGCATTCTCATAAACTGTTTTGTGGTTTACTTTATTTAAAAACATGTTTAACTTGTCTGTTTTTTGCAGATACGATTACCTCCTGAGGTGAACCGGATCCTATACATCAGGAACCTTCCTTACAAGATCACAGCTGAGGAAATGTATGACATTTTTGGGAAATATGGCCCAATACGACAAATCAGAACGTAAGTGTGTATGCCCTGTATTCTGGACCGTTTCCGTAGCCCTAAATAGGACAAAGGACACTTACTGTATATACGTTCTGTTGACTGATGAGGTGTGTGGGAGCTAGGGTAGCCACCCCTACAGTTGAATAAAAAGAGAAAACATCTGATCTGATATTTGTCATGTTAGTCACCTGACCATGGCTAAGAACTATCCTTACATCTAAGAATTACATAGAGATATTAAGTGTATTTAAACTGAATGGATTGTCTGTGTGATCAGCTTGGACCATGTGTTCATGCAGTGATCTTAGAGCCATACAACAACCTTTATATATTTGTAAGTTTTTATTTTATTTTATTTTCATTCAGAAGCTTAAATTAGTACACTATTTGTTCAGTTCACTGTGGACCTGAAATAAGCCTCTTTATATCATTGTTTGAATATACCTAGTAAGACATTGGTTTGCTTGTTCTTTGATTGATGAGCTTAATAGATTTGAATTTTCCCTCAAATTTGGGACAGCAAGACTTAATGGGTGACTTAAATGTGTTCACTGTTCCAAACACTTTTACAGGTTATGGGATATCCAGTGACATCTGGTGGTGAGGTTGCACACTGCTATGTTGGCAATGCTTTCATACATTGTGTTCAAAATTTTCAAGAAGGCTGAATACACACACACACACACACACACACACACACACACACACACACATTAAGATGTGCAACACCATTTTATTTGGTTGGCCATCTTGGCCACTCCAAGCATCCTTGGAGAAGTGCAACAAAAATTGAACAGCAGCTGGCTTGACCTGGTTTTTGCAATTGACAGCTCCCTTCACCACAGTGAACCTTAAAACATCCAATTTCTTCATATCTTTGCTTCTTTAACTATGTGGATTCATGATTTTCTCCTTTTTCTTGTATTAAAGTTTAACTGTGATCCTCCATTCAACAAGTTACAGTTCTTAACTCATGACAGTGCTCTCTCTTGTTTCGAAAGTTACTACTTTGTCTTCAAAATGTCTCCCAATCCAAGCTGCTACTTCAGCATGAAAACATTAAATTCATGCCCAGTGTGTGGTTTGTTTGTTCTGGGCTACTGTTAAAACCATTGCGGTTCAACATGGGTGTCTCAATGATAGGAGACCTGCTCCTATGTAAATATAAGAGGAATCATTCTAAGTTAAGTTTTTTTCTGGTGATTTTGTATTAATGAAAACATAATTGTGCATACTATAGCTCATTTCTGCTAATAAATCCTTCTAGACCTTACAAACTGCACCTTTAACCTTTCCCTAAACAGTTGTAGGACTCAACATTATGGTCTTTCAACCAATTGCTGTGTTTGTTTATTTTTTTTCCCCCTCTCTTCTCAGGGGGAACACACCCGAAACAAGAGGAACGGCTTATGTAGTGTATGAAGACATCTTTGATGCCAAGAACGCCTGTGACCACCTCTCAGGTTTCAATGTCTGCAACCGTTACCTGGTGGTCCTCTACTACAATGCAAACAGAGTACGTATGAGCATTATAGTATCGGGTCATGTATGGTCAGGTTAATAATTTGATAAATGACATCCAATGTTCTTTAGGAAATATGAAGATTAAAATTTTTAAATTATTGGAAAAATGAACATGCATTCTAAGTTTCCTGTGTTTTACCAAATCTATTTCCAGGCTTTCCAGAAAATGGACACGAAGAAGAAGGAAGAGCAGCTGAAACTTCTGAAAGAGAAATATGGCATAAATACAGACCCTCCAAAGTAGGAGGGTCACAGTCTGCTAGAGAAAATTTCTTTACAGTCTTTTTCACATGCATCACATATTTCTACAGCCTTTAATTTAAAGCTAACCACCGTCTGCAGTCTGAGTTGATTAGTATAAACTATCTGAAGTATATGGTTTCTGTAAAATAAATGTTCCTTTTTTTAAAAGTTTGTGTCCAATGGTTTGCATACTGTAGGTGTACAGTAGTGGAAATGCTGTCCACTCTTGAACGAAGATCAGTCCAGAAGCTTCAAATGACTTGCGATGATGTGTTCACTGGGGCCAGAAACATGACTGAACTATTTTGATTTTAAAAAAAATTACCTAGCATCGTCTAAAGTATGACAGTGAACAGTATATATGTTATCTTTGTATTTTGGATTGTTGGTCAAGATAGAAAATATTTCCAGATGTCACCTTGGAAATTGTGACTGACACTTTTCACCATTGTCTGACATTTTAAGTGCTCGGGCATCTAGCAAGACAAAGTCTGTGAGCCATTTGGAAATGTTCGGCCATAAGATTACAATGAGATGTTTTTGTAATGCTTTTAAGCTTTATTCTTAATCGGAAGTCTTTTGAGATCTCTTTTTTTTTTTATGAGGCATGGTTCAAAGGAGCAAATTCAAAATCTTTGGTGTTTAAAGGTGAAAGTAGCTCTAAACTACATCTCCAATGTGGTTTCTTTCATCGGACTCCATGTTTGATAACTACTGAGTAGTTAATTTTTGTGGATGCCGTTAGCTGAGGGGTTTGCTCTTAAGGTTTGGATGATTTATTAATTATGAACAAAAGAACAATACTTATTGAAACAGATTTGGTTTATTCATTATTGTATTTTAAAAGCATGACTATATTTTAAGATACAGTTGTGTAAAAATGCAGATCATTCCAAAGGAGTCCGTTTTTGCCACTGTAAGTAGTCCCTGTGAGAGTGACATTTTGTGTGAAATCATTCATTATAACTGATATATTAATGTTCAAGTGACAATGTTTTCGCTGGTGAAGATGGAGCTAATTTTAACTTAGGTGGTTTAATATCTAATGAGGCATTGTAGTGTGTTCTTGACACTAATATGCTTTGCTTATAAAATCTATAGCTGTCAAATTATTTGAGTTAAATGGTGAAGTTGCATCTAACAAGTACAAGCATGTTAAGTTTGTCTTTAAATACTCCACTTAAATACAAGGAAAATATAAATATATATACTGTACTTTCCACCACTGGGAGTGACTTTGCAGAACCCCATTATTAGCAAATATGTTTAGGTGTGCTAACATTCTAAACACCTGGAAGCCATAACATGAGAACTATGTCTGATATTGCTTGAAAAAAATTGTTCTTGAAGTGAAGTTTAAGACCAGACAAGAGCCCATAGAGTTTCTTTTATTAGATTAAATCACAACACAGGGAGTAGTGCAGCCATGTTGTCAGGGACACAATACATGCTACAAAAGAATTCTTGTACACGGTTGCCTTCGCTTACATTTGGTATCTTGATAGCAATATTAGTAATTACAAACATTGTCTGGCCAAAGATGTTCATGTAAAGAAGTTCAGATTACAGCCTTGATGAGGACAAGCTACACTGCTGAGAAATGATGATGGACTGGAATGCTAGTTCTTTATTGCAATAATGTATTTTATGACACATCACATCTCCTTTAGCCTCCTTTAGCTCTTAAAACACCACAAGTATTATGCAGCGTTGGAAAGTGTCTGTGCTGTTTTGAGACAGGGCCAGGTAAATTAAGGATACAAGTGATTTAACAGGTTATTTCCAAATCATTTCTTCTCTGCATTGAGTGTGTATCAGTACGTGTACAATGGGGGAGAGAAAGGAGTAAAAAAGTACAAAAAGACTGACTGACAGGTAAGATCAATACATAGGGGATGCTGGGGAGGGCAAATTGTTCAATCTATTAAACACATGGCTTTACAATAAGGGCTCGCCTCTAGAAGTTACAGTGTACAATGTAACACCATTCACTGCTCCTCTCGCTGCTTCAGCTTCTGCTGAATATGACATTGTTGCACTGGCCTTTTTTCTACTCTTAAAGAATTACAAAAAATCCCCTCTAATGGATTAATTGCACTGATATGTAACCTGCAAGCTAACAGGAAAAAAGTGGATGTGACGGTGACACATAGGTCATAACTAGGTTTGATGCTGTCCAACTATAGAGGAAAAAGTTTTTATTCCAACTCCAGCTAAAAGTGTATTCTTTCATTCTCTAGGGACTCCTGATTTAAATATTTAATCTCACTTGTCTCTAGTCCATTTGCTTAAATGATGTATCAATTTAGCCTTTTTTTTTAATCTCTGATAATCTTTCAAAATGATGGGGCAGGGTTTCAGTTCTTAGCAACATTTACTACAGATAATCCACAAGGAAACATGCTCCAACAGTTTAAGTAAGCATTTAAGAAAAAAAAGTCCCAATCACAAAAATTACATCCCAAACAATGATACTTGTAGAAGGACCTGCTGCAATATGATTTTTTCTTGTTTCCCCAGCTGTCACTATGCTGCTTTGATAAGGCGTTCTGTCTTTGATTACGGGATGCAAAAGGAGGACATTTTTAAGGCAGAACCGAAAAGCATGCAAATTAACTACATTTACATTTTTACTGACAGTACAAGCATGTTTTGGAAGGAGAAGTTGGACAAACGCTAATCAAGCTCTGCTAGAGCTAATATTCGAGACAATGGATAGAGTGTCTTATTGGAGGCAGATACATTATCATAGGAATTTGGTTCATCTGACATTACTCAGTATTATGAAACACACAGCTAGCGCCAGTAAACTTGGTTCAATAAATAGAGTAGCGGCAAATTCAATGTAGCACATCACTGATGCGCAAGCTTCAATAAAATGAGATTGTATGGAAAATACTTTGCACACTTCACATTTTGGCAGTTGATCTTTAAATAATTTAAATATATATCCATATTTATCTATCTATCTATATTATTTAAGTGAGGTGTTCATATGCAGTGAGAGATTGTGTGTTTGTGTGTGTGTAGTGTGAGTGTTTGTGGTGTGTGTGCAACCGCACTCTTGCACACGGACACTGTTGTATGTTATGTGTAGATCTATTTAGAGCAAATAACATTCTCATGCACACGAGTGTTTCAAACACAAGAAGCAGATCCATTGAAAGGTAGTCCAAGCATTATTTTTCTGTGGAAATAGCTGCAAACTGAATGGAACATGAAATTCTTTCTGTGCAGTCCGTGGCGGCTGGTGGAGCTCTCTGCTTGCCCTCTGGCCTATTTCTGCAGATCACACTGCAGCAGTAATACGATGGACGGGTCACTTTTGGCCGCCTCTTTGAACTCCTCCAGCGTGATCTGGTCGTCGTTGTTCTTATCCATCTTGGAGAAGATCTTGTCCACCCTCTGCTCGGGCGTCAAGCCATCCTCGTTCATTTTCATCATGATCACTGTGCCCACCATCTTGTAGATCGCCTGCCGGGGGAGAAAGAAGACAGTTTAGAAGAGATAGGGTACATTTCAAGAGTCTTACTACATCCACATTTCCTTCACATGTCATCTGAAGCAGTGACATAGGTAGGTTGTAACTGCTTTATAGTGTCTTTTGATACCTTGGAGCTTGTATTAGTATTATTATTATATAACTACAGGAGCACACACTGACTACAGCCTTCACTTGAAGCTTTGTTCACTGATGTCCTCCCACATGACAAAACAGATTGTGAACTAGTTATCTCTGCATGCTTCCGCTTAACAAGTGTGAAATAAATGTATTCTCTATTTATACCGTATGCAGATAATCAAATAAGTTTTATCCAAATTAAAAAAGCTGATCAATTATCTACATCATATCTATCTATCTATCTAAACCTCCTCCTGGTTTCTGCTTGTGTTATGTTTTAATTTGTTTGGATCTTGTTGTGATGTTTTAATGTATATGCTAAGATACTTGTGAAGCACTTTGGTATGAGATTGTTGTTTTAAATGCGCTATATTAAAAAAAATTGCTTCTGATTTGATAAAGTGATTGCAGTGTTATATGTTAGTGAATAGAAATGAGGTTAGTACCCAATAAAATGTATTTGTTGCTCAACAACGAAAAAAATTCCTTCTCTCAGTCTGACTTGAATATTAACATTGAGACAAGTTAACAGGAGAAACAATGAATGAGATCATGAATCTGAAAATCTGTCTGACCTGGATCCATTTCTAGATCACAGGAGGATCAAGGATCAAGCAATGATACCATAAGGAAACTGGAATGAACCCACAGAGAGGGAGCAGGTTTCTGGCTCCCTCAAGCAATATAAAAATACCACAAATTCTAGATGAGTCTGCTCTAAACCTGTTGTTGCTTATTTCATATATTCTGTGTTAGAGACTAGTATATCTTCAGGCCTGGCAGGCACAGCTGAGTCAGCCCACAGTAGCACTGTAACAAGGAGAGGAACCTTAAAAATAATGTTATAAATGTGAGAACTATGGCCAACATGTAATTATCTCTGCTTCTAACTTGAAAGAGCAACATAATAAATAACTGGTACCTTTAACTAGAATGTAAGGATTTGAGAAAATTAACACCTGATTCAATGACTTCCCTTAGAAATATGTAGCACATGCGAAATCAACACCTTATTCAATAACACCTTATTTAGAAGGTCTGCTATTTCCTAATAATTTCTGAAACTTTCCTGGAAAGAACCATGTAGTACAGTATGTTACTAATCACAGAAACATAGACAAAAATCTTTGACAGCTATTTTTAGTTGGTCATTAAATGAATTTTCATGAAAGAAGCTGCTCAATTTAAACCTGTTAATATTTGCTATTTATTTATTTAGTATTTGAAATGTTATTTGTGCTAGCTTAGCATTTAGAAGTGTGCCAACTAATCATTTTCTCATTTTATCTATAATTAATACCAAATTACATGGTTCTTTCCAGGAAACTACCTAGGAAATATTTGGAAATAAGCTGGAATTTACAGGCCTGTAAAATAAAGTGTTACCCATTATCATTTGCTGTGTTACCTCGATGATCTCCAGCATCTCCACCCTTGTGATCTTTCCGTCTCCGTCCAGATCATACATGTTGAAGGCCCAGTTGAGTTTTTGCTCGAAGCTGCCTCGTGATGTGATGGACAACGCACAGATGAACTCTCTGAAGTCGATGGTGCCATCGCCGTTCTTATCGAAGGTCCTGAAGGCATGCTGGGCGAACTTGGATGCATCACCGTAAGGGAAGAACTGGTGGAAAAAGTAAAAGGTGGAAATATAAGAATACTTTTTCTGATTATTTCTTAAAGTGTTGGTTCCTTGTAAAATCATTTTATAATCTCACCCTGCAAAAAACATTCACCCAATACCTTTGATAAACTTGAGAAAATGTAGGTAACGTGTCAATACAAATATCACTATCTGGATGTGTAATATATTCGCTCTAGTTTCAGTTTGGTAAAACCTGCCAGACAGTTTCATCCATCCATCATCTATACTGCTTATTCCAGAATAGGGTCACGAGGGGGGCTGGAGCCAATCCCAGCTGACACTGGGCAAGAGGCGGAAGACAACCTGGACAGGTCACAGTCTAATACAAGGCTGACATGTAGACAAACAACCACACACACTCCCTCCTACAGGAAATTTAGAGTCGCCAGTCCAACTAAGCTGCATGTCTTTGGCATGTGGGAGGAAGCCGGAGTACCCGGAGAGAAGCCATGCAGCCACAGGGAGAACATGCAAACTCTGCACAGCTCGAACCCGCAGCCTTCTTACTGTGAGGTGGCAGTGCTAACCACCACGCTGCTGTGCCGACAACTTCTTCCACTTAATTAAATTGGTGAACATTCCAATATAAAGTTCAAACAAAAAACTAATTCTCTCACCATGCAAACATCACCCAAAAGGCACACCAGTATTCAGAAAGAAAATAAATACATAAATAAATAAGCTGTATTTGCCTTTACTCTCCAAAACCAGTGCATGACTTGTGCTCTGTTGTTGTGCAGCCTGTTAGGTCATGAACTGGAGATTAGAGTGTAAAACCTCTGGTGTGGCAAAGTGGTGCAGATCATGTGTCATATATAAAACCTTACTAAAAATGAGTGAGGCCTCTGTCAGTTTTTGCCAGATCATGTGGCAACTGGATGGAAGAGGAAGATTAATGGAAACAGATGGGGTTATCTGGAAACAGAATGACAGAGAATGATTTGCTTTTAAAATGGGTGGCCATGGAATGCCTGCAGTAATTAAGTAAACTTTGATTTCCTGTTCCCATCCAGTGCTTTTAAGCTCTACCTTTGCAAATGTTATTGATCTGTGCTCACGTGAATGTCTGTGTAACCATCTGTACTGTAAGGTGGCTTGCAGAGTTGCCTTATAGGTTAGTTTGGGAAAACTGTCCCCTCAGACCATCTACAGGCTGCAGTCTTTCCTGAAATTCTAGTTCTAAAATAGGCAACAACAATTACAATGTAGGCTTTATTTACTGATTGGAAGTGTGTTTTCCTGCACAGGAAAGTCAGGGTCACTGCCATGCAGCAGCCATTCACTCACTCAAACCTTCACACACCAGATGTGTCCTGACACATAAATACAAGTACTCCAGCTACTCCAGGCCCTTCTCCCTCACATCTTCCATTTGCAGCACTTTCATACTGTTTCCATATGCAGACCTAAAGTTTTAAAATTTATGTCCATTAAAAATGGTATAAACTCAAATTATTATTATTATTGTTATGTTCTTTATTTATACAGGATAGACTGAGCATATGCTGATTTACACAGCAATGCCCTGTGTACAATTAAAAGTCACAGACAAAGAAATAAAACAAAAATTAAAAACATGATACAAAAAAGCATTAATGAAAGCAGTGACAATCAGGAAGAAAATGACTGTTGAGAGTTATCAGCTTTCATGAGTCCTTTGGGTCTCTGCAGCCCATAGTCTCACTGTGTTACGATCAAATTTGAGTTAGCTCATCAAATTTAATTGGAGGGTGGCATGTTTCCATTGACTCATTACAAGAAGATTCTGGTTTCAGGTCCAGGCCAACCTGGTGCCTTTCTGTGCAGAGTCTGCATGTTGTCACCACTGCACCACAGAGCCACTAGCACAAATCATTCTTAGTTGTTAAAAATGCTTCATGTCAAGTTCACAAGGTTTTGCCAAATACATTATGTGTAATACTCCCAATAAAATACACTTTCCATTCCACAGGGCAAGAGTGAAAAAGATAAAAGTAAATAACATGGTTTTTGCCATTTTCAGATGCAGAATGTAGTAAAAATCAATTACACTCAACCTGGATCTGCTTCCAAAATCAATGGCTCACATTTATTGTATATAACTGAGTAAATATGGATTAGCTGTGTTGTCAGTACTGACTAAAACTTAAAGCTCCTCTGCATGCGCTACATGAACACAAGGTTAGAGGTTAATGCAGTAACTCTGTGGATGACAGCTGAGCCCCTGTGTAGTTCGTCATCTACTGCAGACCATGGACCCTGTGGGTGGCTGCAAGAAGCAGAACGATTCATTAGATACAACCTTCTATTTGACTCCTCTGGTAAAAACTCTTAGAGCAGGTCCGTAATCTCAGCTGAGGGAGGCTGTTCTCTGAGGACTTATGTAAACAATTGTTGTAACAGTCTTTGTAAAGGGAACAGAGAAAACTAGAAGAGATATTCTTATTTTAGTCTGCTCGCACAAAGATAACTGAATGTATATATTCAACACCTTTACGCGCCACCATCACAGGCAGCTTTGGGGGTTCATTGTCTTGCCCAAGGACAATTTGACTGCAGGCACCAAGATTCGAACCCTCAACTTTCCAGTTGGGAGACAACTGGTCTACCCACCACACCACTGTCGAATAGGATGCTCTTGAAATTTGTGTTACTTCTTTGGCTTTGTTTGTTAATATTCAGGTTCCAGTCAGTGCCAAACAACTTGGAAGAAATGAGTCTACCCTTGTTATTTTAATATTTCAACTATTGGCCAAAGTCAATAGATCCTGCCTTTACTGATATTTGCAGGACTAAATGAAAGAAAACTAGCTGAGGAATCATACATTTTCAAAAGGAAGTCAGGTATTATAAGTAAGATAGGCCCTAAAGCACATTTAAAAGTGGTCAAAAAGAACTGATAACCAAATAATAGATCTGACACTGTGCTTGACTCAATCAGTTTCAGCATTTTATCCATCTTAAAGCTGCATTAACTGATTTGTTTGGTCACTAGGCGGCAGTGGAAACATGCTGTAAAATAATGAGTTTCAAGATGCTGAAAACCTTAATAAAACTGGGACTGCAGAGACAGGTGATAATTAGCCTATCTGTTGGTTCATTACTATGAGCAACCACTATCACATTACACAGAGTCATTATGTCCATTATTAATAAAAAAAAAAAACATTGATTATAGCTTGCTTTAAACTGCAAAATAGAAGACAGACCTTCCGAATTAAAGGGAAGGAAGGGAAGGAAAAAAGCAAGGACGCTGTCCTAGCCTCTCTTAAGAGTAACACCTCTGACAGCACTGAAGTCCCAATAGGGGCGGAGTCAAGGTAATGAATTCTAACAGGAAAGGCAAGACTGCAGTGGATTGGAGATGACATGAGAGTGGAGGGAGGCAGAGAAATCAAGAAACAGAGAAATAGGAGGTGGATAAGAAAGACAGGGTTAGACAGAGAGTCGGTTCAGGAGGCAAAACTGCATATCTGCAATAAGGTCCCACCCATGTAAATTCTGCTGCAGTGAGAAATTAACAGACAGAGAGAAAGAGACAGAGAGCAGGGTAGAATGAATGCCAATGAGCAAAATGATGAAGAGAGAGAAGAATGGAAACAGGAAAGAAAAGGTGGAGGAGCAAAGTAAAATGAATGTGACACAGGAAGTGTTACAGGGAGTGTGCCAGTGATAGAGCTCAGTTTCCCCTAACCAGGCCCCTATCTGGCCTTCTGCTCCAGAGAAGCCAAACTAATTTGAGGAAGGAAGGCCCCTTGGGACAGAGGGCTGGTGCTAGGCTGCCAAGATGAACGGGATGCTACCTGACTCTTTATGCACAAATTCAATGTGGCTTCCTTCCCAAGAGTGCTGCCTCCTTCATCTGTGTGGCCCTGCCTGGGCTCATCAGTCCAGCCTCTTTAGGAACTGGAGGAGGCGCGTAGATGTGAAGGGATGATGTGGGAGGACAGAGTTGAGGGAGGGGAGGGAGAGGGAAAGTCAGAGGGAGGAAAAGGTGTCAGGAAAGTGATGAAGGACAGATGCTGAAGAGTGAAAGGGGAGGGAGGGGGAGAGAAAGCTACCGCTGGCAAGTTATGAAACACTTTGTTATGTAAAAATGGAGCCAAGAACAGAAGAAAGTGGGACAAGGTGATGAGAATGTGAAATTCCTCCATCAGAGTGTCTGTGCTTTATCTTGTGTGTCTGTGTCACATGTAAAAGCACCAAACATCAGAGAAATAATAATCTTCAAAACAAATCTTCACTAGATGGCACACAGTCACCATTTAATGACCAAAAGGAGCCAGTCAAAACCTGAAGTGACTGTTTTTTGGCCTTTACAGCTATGGATATTAGCCTGTTAACATTTCCATTAAGTCTTATTCCGCTCCTGATTTGGCTCACTCTTGCCGCCAAGGCTGTTTGATATGGCTGTTCAGAGCCGGCCATCAAAGGACAGGCTGATTGCCAGACAGTTTCTGTCCACTCAGGGTAGAGCCAGGAGGACCGACACAGCTGGCTTAATAAAGGCTAATGCTGTTGTGTTAGTGTGTGTCAGTGAGTGTGTGGCGAGGCCTAGTCTGTCCAACAGATCCCATACCCCATTACCTGACCTACACACAAACACACAACTCAAAACACACTGCTGTTAAATGGAACATTAAAGCCTTCATAATAAGCCTGCAAGCGGGCACTGGTGCTGATCCAGAAACTGGGAGAAAGAAAAGACAAAAAAATCGAAGGGACACAAAGAGAGGAGGGACGGGGGGGAGAAAAAAGCAAGAGTGGAAGAAAAATTGTGTGAAAGAGAAAAATGCACTTCACTAGTCACACTTCACATGAAGGCCATTTCACACTAACAGAACAGAGAATGCCTGCAAGAACAGATGAATATTACAGTTCAAAACAGAGTGAAACAGTACAAACGAGGGGGATGGGCATTTGAAGTCGAATAATTTAAGCCAATTACTTGATTAATAGTGACATCACAAAAGCAGCTATATTTGTTCCTGTTGTCACAT